AATGGAACGGTCTTGATGCCAGATCCCAATGGAAGTGCTGTTCCAGTTCCAAAAGGGACATGTCGAAGTCAATGTTCCATTGGTCGTATTGTGGGTTTTGAAGAATCCTCTTGACTTGGACGACGACGCCTCCGGATCCCTTGATGGAGGAACCAGCGCGAACGCTCAAATCTTGAGCAGAAGATCTGCAAATTGGATATATTAAATTACAAAACATCTTCTTTAGAAAAGTTTCTTGTAGATTACCCATCGGTGCAGTGAGCAGCGGTAACGGCGAACTTTTCGCTGATGATAGAAGCACCGCAGATGTGGCTTCCGTAGTACAAGAGGGACAATTGGTATGGGTAGTCTTCGATGTTGACGGATTCACCGCCGACGATGCGACCATCCAACTGCGGAATCCTAGGATTTGCAGCTAAATGGCACATAATTTAGAGTAAGTAAATTCAATTTTTATTTAAATATTAAAATATAATATTTATAACTTACCAGAAGCTGCAGCTACGAGAGCAGATACTAAAACAAACTTGAACATTTTGTCAACTGTGATTTAAAATTTTTGCGAATTTTGCCTTTTATACCAGCGCTGAATGATGGTGGTGATGATTATGCGATATTGTATCAGGTTACGTGTTGGAATTTCAACTTAATTAAGGGTTTAATTATAACCACCCAAAAACAACAAAACAATTATGTTTACGTGGCCAAAAATAAATTTTTGATTTTGAGATTTGTTGTCACGATTAGATATGTAGCAAAAATATTTGATTTGATTTATCATGTGTTAAATTCTTTTAAGCTTATTATAATTAATAAATCGTAACTATAATATCTAAACTGCATTAAGCACTTTTATTTCTAATTAACTTAGAAAATCAATTAATTTTGCGCATATTTTTTTAGTATTTTAAATCGCAATTTATAACAACAATTTATGATAAAAACAAATATTTTTGGTAAATATCTAATCTCATAATCAAAAATATAATTTAATTTTCGAGTAAGCAAACATCTACAGATTTAATTTGTACAAACTTTAAAAATAACATTTTTTTTATATAGTTACGTCGAGCCAGAACATTAAAAAAGAAACTAATTATTACGACTTTAACTCTAATAAAACGGGACAAAAATTGCAATCACGTTTTAAAATAAAACAAAAATAATGTAGTAAAACAATAAGATTGGAGGCGCCGGGCATCGATCCCGGTACCTCTCGCATGCTAAGCGAGCGCTCTACCATCTGAGCTACGCCCCCTATATAAAGTAATGCTTAATTACCATTTATTACGAATTACATAAATTCAGAATTTTCGTTAATTGATCGAGTACTTAAAATTACAAATATCCTAGAGTGCTAATCCTTAATTCGAATATTTTGGTATGAATAACCATTATTGTTATAACAAGTTAAGTTTATATATTTAGTGCATTTAATTATTTAGCTGACAATAATATATATAGATTGAAAGATATTTCGTAGACAGTCACTTCTCAATTTATGACATTGATCCTGATGTAAGTCGAAATGATTGAAAGTCAAATTTCATACAATATAATAAAATACTTTTGTTGTAAGTCAAATGGTCGTAAGTCGAGAAAATTATTGTATTTTAACCATTTCAGGACAAGTAGTTACTGCTGCTAACCACAAATTTAAAATTCATTTTCAACGTTCTTACATGTTGCCTATGTATCAGAGATTGTGGCATCGCATTTTTTGGCATTTTCTTGATTGGAAGCATATGTTTTATTTCGAGAAAGAAATACTAATCAGATGCCATCAAAGATGTTTCGTTTAGCAGTTGCTACTGGCCTGATTGGTGATGCACCAAAAAATATAAAACGTGGTTTAAAGTCAAAGGAAACTGCAGGAAACAGACACAAAAAATGTTAGATATGATAAATCAGCACATATGCTTGAACGTTTAAGCTCCCTTCGATGTGCACACTGCAACGCTTCAAAAGAAGTGCATAGAACTATTTGGATATGCTTGACTAGTGGGCTTGTGTCTTAATAAAGACAAGAACTGTTTTTTATTGTTACACAAAAAGTAATTCGGTGTTGCAAGTGCCTACTGGTTATCAGCGCTAACAAATCCTGGAGGATAATTCAGGACATTCTATTGACAATTTCTTACCACAAGTTTATTTAAACATTTAATACTTTCTATAAATAAAAATATGTAAAGTAATTTTTTTTCAATTCTGTCCTCAAAGGGTTAAGTGTTAAATATCAAAACTGAATAGACTCCTAACATATTAATGACCATAAGAGCGTGAGCAATAGCAATTATTGTTCTGAACTTTTCTTTAGAATCTAAAGCAATATCCACACGTATTATCTGTTAAGAAAATTAACCCTTTGATATACAATAACGTGTCCAAAACGTCTAAAGCAGTGATTCCTAATGTGGTCTATATCGACCCCCAGGGGTCTATGACAACCTGCAAGGGGTCTACGTTATTTGGGGTCCATGATAGTGGATCGCAACATACACTAATGGTACCTATTTACTTACATTATACTATCTATACTATATACATACTACTATCTTATTTATAAAAGTAACTAATAAATAAAAGTAATAAAAGTAAAAAATGTATTATATATGTTTATAAAATTGTGTAAGTTGTAGGATGTAGGCATTCGCCGTGTGGTCGCAATACATTTTGAACTTGTAAAAATCTTGAATATAGCGAATTATGGAATATATCGAGGAAATTTTTAATTTCCTTTCCATCGTCATACCTAGTGGAAAGGGGGATCAACGCTGTTACCAATCTCCTAACGAAAAAAAGAAACAGACTGGACATCATTAGCCGAGGAGATTTAAGATTAAACTTTACAAAATTGACGACAAATGTTGATAATTTATTATTTTATTAGTTTATTTTATGTTACCTATATTTTATATAACAGATACAAAATTTTATTTTGAGTAGTTTTAATTTAAATTCAATTAATGTATACAACTTAACATATGATTTTACTTTAAGTTTTTAACACTATACTTCACTACAGTTAGAAATTTACAAAAAATCAATATCAGGTCTACCCAAAACCGAAAAACATGGCAAGGGGTCTACGACACAAAAAAGTTTGGGAACCTCTGGTCTAAAGTTTACTTTCAATTGGAATCGAGTAAAAACTTTACACAAAAGTGATAAAACAAATTCATCAGAAAGTATAGAAAAATTGAATTGGATAATAATAATAATAATATAAAGCCATTTAATGCAAATTATGGGAACAACACTTTGGTTTTGAAAAAAAATAGAGTCAAATTATACTCTTCTTTATACCATCCTATAAGTACTATCTTTTCGAAAAGATGATAAAAGTTACAAATAGATATGCAGCACTGAAATTAGTCTTCAGTATTTCTTAAATTATTTACTAATGAAAAAAATATTATTAAGAAAATCAACTTACATTGTTTTTCATTACATAACTTATATTTTATTCGTATGTCAAAGAGTTGAGTGAAAGGGCATTAAAGTAAAAGACAATTTTATAGAAAAGATAAATTGACCCCGACGTGATTTGAACACGCAACCTTCTGATCTGGAGTCAGACGCGCTACCGTTGCGCCACGGAGTCTTGTTATAAATTTTGCTTCATTATATTATTTATATTATTGTTATTAATGCTAATGCAATATATTTCAGTAAATTATATCTAATTTAAATATATTGTAATATATTCATAGCATATAAAGGGTACTCGTTTATTTAACGTTAACTTATATATGGGGGCGTAGCTCAGATGGTAGAGCGCTCGCTTAGCATGCGAGAGGTACCGGGATCGATGCCCGGCGCCTCCAACCTTATTGTTTTGTACATCAGAACAATATTCTTATATAAACTATTCTTAAATAATAATACTAATTTTATAACAACAAAATGTTATTTTAAAATTTATATGATCAACAGTTTTATAATTTCAGACTGTAGATGTTTTGAAATAATATCAAATTTTAATAATATGTATAAGTTCACAATTATTAAAAGGATTGTAGATGAATTGTGAAAGATTTACGTAACATAAAAAAAATTAAAGGGCATAAATTTATTGCAAGTACAGTTTCCGTGGTGTAGTGGTTATCACATCCGCCTAACACGCGGAAGGTCCCCGGTTCGATCCCGGGCGGAAACATAATTTTATGTTTCCCATGAAAAAAAATATTATATAACACATAGACATTTTGTGTTTTGTATTTTAGTAAGATGATGGATATAATTATAAAATATATTAACTGGTGGATAAGACTTTGAAAGGAGATAGTAGCAGATTGTAATTATTTTTTTATAATTGAGACATAAGAGTTATATAAAAAGAAGGCACAAATTTATGATCACTGAAGACAAAGTGAGTAAAGTACACTCATTGGAATTGTTGTAATTTTGTGTTTAATATTCTTATTAGTTGATATATTTATTTTGCGTAGTTATCGATTAATTAAATAAAACGTAAAAAATTTCATCTTTGGCTGTATATAACATGCAAACAATATACAACACAACTATACCAGTATATTCATTGAAAATGTCATAGCTTTATCTTTACTTTGCCTTTTTAATGATCTAATTAGCTTCTGTGGTTATCAAGTAATTAAATAAAAAGCTGAAGACATTTCTTTTCAAGCTGTATTTTATTACTCAAAATTGACAATTTATAACAAGCGTACAGCTTTAACTACAACTCTGGTATTAGAATCATAGGAAACTCAATTTATTTATATATTATTTGCTCATTAATTAATGTTTATCACTAACGTTATTGTTGTGTAATTAAATTAAACGTGAAAGCACATTTTCAAATTTGAATTCGTTATTTGGTGTATATTGAGTTGCCTGCAACTTAGGCGCACAAATCAATGTCGACTTTTTTTAAACAACTACCGCCATCTTTTCGTAAATATTTCAAAGGTTATAGTTCAGTCATTTCTACACTGTTCAAAATTTCTTCATTATAAACTGAACATATGTGACTTTACATACACTACTTGCATTTGCTTCTGTCAAGCTTGATATACTCACTGTTGTGAAGAAAGGTTAAATCAGTAAATTTGGTTTTGCAGTAATATTTTATAAATATCAAAGCAATCATGGTCGTCGAAAAGAACGCCTTCTCTGGAAATCCCCTCGAGCAATTCGTGTTACTTGCGAAAAGTGCCAAAGGTGCAGCTTGCATCGAGCTTGTGAAACAAGTGCTTGAAGCTCCTGGAGTTTATGTATTTGGGGAGCTACTCGACATGCCAAACATCTCTGAGGTAAATAATGTTTTTTCTTGATTAATCGTAGAGAACAATTTCAATTCACTAAATATCTTGTTAATTATTTTACAGTTAGCATTAGGTCCAAGCAAGAACTGCATAGCAACATTAAATTTATTTGCTTATGGTACCTACAATGAATACCTCCAAAACAAGGAACTCTTCTTTGAACTAAGTCCTGCCCAGAAGAAGAAACTTCAGCATCTCACTATTGTTACTTTAGCCACCCAGTCAAAGGTTGGAAGTTAATACAAATTTGAAGTAAAGAAAAAAAAAAATTAAATTATTTGTTTCAGTGTATTCCATATGGAATTCTTTTGAAAGAATTAGATATAAACAATGTGCGTGACTTGGAAGATCTTATAATTGAAGCCATTTATGCAGGTAGAATAGAGAATGGGAAATATTATTGGTTCATTCATTAATTAATTTAACTTTGCAGATATTATCCATGGTAAATTGGATCAGAAGAATAGTCAATTGGAGGTGGACTGCGCCATCGGTAGAGACATAAAACCAGATGATATTAATGTTGTTGTGAATTGCTTGCAAGAGTGGTGTTCCGCTTGCGAAGGTGTTTTGGCTTGCGTAGACACCCAAATCCATAGAGCTAACAACGAGAAGAATAGATGTGTTCTAAGAAAGACTGAAATCGAGCAAGAAGTACAACTTTATTTATTTATTTTTGTTTAATATAAATATATTAATTTCTGTCGAGTGTTTCAGATCGTGAATATAAAGAAAACTTTGAAAGCGCAATTGGAAGATAGAAATGAGGGGACGGATGAGGTGATGGCAACGGATAGTCGCGAGGCAACGGCGAGTGGCGAGAAGGGCAAGAAGTCCTCCAAAGGCAAAGGTATTAGATCAAGTAGTAAGTTCTGGTTGAAATCTTAATCTAACAGAAAGCACACATAGTTAACAATTATCTCATACGTAGCAGTGTCTAGTCTTCTAACTGCATTTGTAATAATCTATCTGTATTATATATATATTTTTCGGGATTTTATTGTTCGAGAATAAAGTCTTCTCTTAATCCCCTAATAAATTGCCTGTAATTCATTTTAACACCTTTAACCGCATTTAACTGAACGAAATAATCCATAATTCAATTGTTCTGATTCTAGGTGGTTTAAAAATTCTTCGCTAATTTCGTCGAGAACGTCGCGGCAACATCACGCTGAATCTTCTGTTTAATGTGATTTCTTTTTTTAAAACCATACTTATCCAATAAATAAATTAATGTTTATTATTAGTAATGAAAATGAATAAATACAGTCTTTGCAATTTTCCATGTTTTTGATCCGAGTCACCTCGAGTTGTTGCCATGAGCGATTTTTTTAAATAGTCATTGATTGGCACCTGAGTGAGTATATATTCAAGCAGACATGTCTCCGAAAACATTGGTAATTTATACGATTTTTCTTTATAATTTTCGTGTTATTTACATTATTAACATGTTCAGTTCGAAAAGTTCGGGCATCACTGCGAAATCCAATCGGGAATTCGCGATATACCAATGTTCAGGTCGAGCAAGTCTCCGTTCACGAGATTTATACGATTATGCAAGAGGATACGCATGATCAACGAGACGAACAAAAGGGGCTACAACTATTTGCGGAGCCAAAAGAAAATCGAAAATGAATACAGAAAGCAACTTTTGTATCCGTACATAATACATCCGTTCAGTGACTTCAGGTACAAATCGATTAGAATATATTTTTTTCAATTCTCGCATTTATTTGGCGCAGGAAATATTGGGAATTTTTTATGAGCATTATCATATTAATCCAAGCGATTATGGTGCCGCTAGATATTGCTACCTACAATTCGAAGTATCCGGATAGTTTCGTGAGGACGAGTTACTTCGTATACGGAAGATTAGCGACCGACATCATATCGTTAATGGAAGTGTTGGTCAACTTCTTTTCAGGATACTGTGAAGTGAAGAAGAAGATAGTTGTCCTAAATCCGCACAAGATATTTAAGTAATCATTCACAACATCACCCTAACAATTTTGCTTCCTCTTCCATGCACTTTCTTATGAAGAAGGTCGCAGTATTCTTAGTATCCCACGGGCGACAAATGATTCAGGTTAATTTCATCCATTGTATTTGCATAGGAACTACATTTTCTCGAATTTCATCATTGATTTGTACGCTTCAATACCAACTGATGTACTATTGAACCTGTATTTTACCGAGAAGTGGCAAACTCGCGGATGGAACTACATGTTCCATTATTGCGGATTACTGAAGTTGTTCAGATACACCACATTTATCGAATACTGCTATAATATCACAGAGGTAGTCCATTAATAGTTCGTAGTTATTGTTTTTGCATTTGATTTTTCCAGACCAGCGAGATATCATATGCCTATTTTCGTGTTACTTCCGCGGTGATAAGCTTCTTCCTGTACGTCCACGTCCTGACATGTTTCCTAATATCATTCATGAGCTATGAATACCCTTTTAATGTACACCTTATAAAAACTTCCTCTTTCACGCACAGGTATAGGAAATTTAATATTTGATAAATTGGATTTGCTATTAATTGGAAGTATGTTGCAGTTACGGTACAAATGCGTCTACGTTTCTTAAGATCTACGCTAGATTCTTCTATTGCACCTGCTTGCTGATTTTAAATTCAGGATTTTCCATTGCGACCATTAGCAACGGATCGAATTTGCTCACAGTCAACATATGGTTGATTTCCAAACTGCTCTTCATCCTCACAATAGGTATGGCAATCTCAATGTTTGTGATTAGTGTTGTAATGTGGAATTGTAGCGTACTTTCTTGAATTGCACATCTCGGTGCATTCGGCGTCGCAGAAGTTCGTTGACATGGTCAACGAGGTGAAAGACTTCATGCGTCACAGACAGGTGCCGAATTTCCTGCAGAAGCGGATACTCGCATACTACGACATCAAATACCAGAACCATTTCTTCCAGGAGTCGGAAATTCTGGACACTGTCTCCGGGCAGTTGCGTCAAGTGCGTACATTTACAATTGAAAGATCAAATGCGTTAACACGATCACCTTAGTGGAATGTTGTTGCATTTACAGTTAAGCTTAATTAATCAATTGTCTAGGAAATCATAATGAACACGTGTGGGAAACTGGTGGAGAACGTAACATTCTTCAAGAATTTGCCTCTAACATTGCTGGTCCGTATCGTATCGTGTCTTCGCTACGAAATCTTCTTGACAAACGATGTAATTTCGAAAGCCGGCACCACCGGCGATTGCATGCACTTTATTTCTACGGGAACAGTAGCGGTCTTTACGAAATCTGGACAAGAAGTGAATCATTCGTACGCTCGAGATGCGCACTTTTGTATTACAATTCATGTCTTTGCAGATTTGCCATTTGCAGGACGGCGATTATTTTGGGGAGATTGCAATGGTGATGAAGGATTCTACAAGGGTGGCTTCGGTGATCGCGGCGGAAGTATGTGAATTATACCGTTTGGATAGGAAGGACTTCATCAGGGCCATAATTCCCTACCCAGATTTATATGATCGTATCACTTACGTTGCGGGAGATCGCATGGAGAGGACGGATATTATCGACGAGGCACACAAGAACACGCAACATATCACCAAATCGGAAGAATTGACTGAGATGGTCCAGTGATTTACAAAATAAAATTCTGATTTAATCCAACAGAATATAGTACAAAAAATATATATATATAAGAGAGAGCGACTTACCAAGTACGAGTAAAAAATTACATTTGGTACAAATAGTTTTAATAGAAACAAATAAATAATAGGCTAACGTAATAAATTAACGCGTAACATACAAAACAGTAAAGCAACTTTGTCATTGCCTTGTTTGTCTTTTTTGTTGCTTTACTAAAATATACTGAGCGAGGGCTCCTTTTTCCAGTCTTTCATTTTCTCTAAAATTAGCTTGGCATCTTGCGAACGGTATATCTGAATCCGTTTGTCAAATATTTGGAAGATATCCGGATCCTTCTGGATTGTCTCTACGAAATTGTAGAACATTGTCGTTTCCGTAAACCATTTCAGGAACCTCTTGACTGCCTTCCTCTTGGGATGATTGGAAAACGTATCCTTCTGCAAAATCATTTTACAGACTTATTTCTCAACAAATGCGACTTAAAAAGAAGCATTGTTTACAAATGTTAATTGGCATATCATTAAAATTTTAATGATCCGCCAATTAAAATTTGAAAACAATTTAGTGTTATTTTCGAAGTGAATTATTATAATTAGATAAATAACATGACCTAAAATCGAATAATATTTACCTGAAAATGACCGTCTTTCAAGAAATCTTTATAATGACCACACGATCGTATAAAAATCCTCAGAAAGGCGTCGCTTACTAGCACATTTTCATTTTTGCCATTTGACGATTTAGCTAAAGCCATTCCTTCCTTCAGCTCATTTACCATGCACGATGGAAGAATTTTATTTTCATCACCTACTTCCATCAATATTGCACCTTCGTCCAAATCAACTACGATTCCCTGAAAAACAAACGTTTTAATAGTAATAATAACTCTATTCACATTTTGATTGATCAACACTCACATCTTCGATTGTGTAATTATTGACTAGAGTCAAAGACAAAGCGCCGCAGATGAATGGTGTAGGTGCTTCGACAATTTCCCACAAGTCTTTGGGAAGTACAGGTATTAAAGTATGAGGCCAAGAAAACGGATACAGCATATTCTGAATCGCTTCAATGCACGTTGATAACTTGCTGTTAACAAAACAAAATGGACATTAATATACAATGAGAATGGTCATTTAGGTAAATACTACTCACCCCAAAACACAGCTTATGAATACGACTTTCCTCTCTAACAATAACGTAGCGAAAACTTTCAGAAGTATATTTACACTTAATGTATTACATAGCTCTTCCAAGTCATTCTCTTTATACCTGCCATCATGATCCATCGTTAATATCAGACTTCCTCGTTGCGCTCCATTGTAGTCATCTATTATTTCTATTATTACATAAAGATAATTAATTAACTAATAGATTTGTTTTTGATGATTCTATTACCTTTTGGTATAAAACCATTCTGAAATAGTATTCCATTCCGCCTATTGTAACTAGCACCGTTTGTGGTAACCGGATTAAGCGAACCATTACACTCTATAACTTCGTAATCGGATATTTCATTATCTTGCCAGATAGACGTCGCGTTGGTATTATCGTCATCCAGCTTACTATCATCAGTGAGGGTGGTATTGGAAATATGCTTATTGACCTCCGCCAAATTGATTCGCACGGATTCACCCGGCACGGGAAATTTATGGTAGTAGATTTCGTTCAGCAGGATATCCCGAATCTTGTCAGGAATACCGTGACGAGATTCCAATTCCTGCAGGATTTTGCGATAAAATCGCGGTGCCTTGTTCTTACTCAGAATACAATACGCCAAAGGTAAACATGTCGTGGAATTCTCGGGCAACACTCGTCGACAGTAACCATAAATCCTTTCCCCGTCATCACCGGTTAACAAAATCGAGTAATTTTGGGCTTTTAATGAACAATCAATGGTGGAATCACCGGAATCAGGAAAACACAGGTACTCTATTTTATATGGCAGATTCACCTGAACAGGTATAAAAGTTACATTTTAAGACTGAAACCGTATCAATAATTATTAACTTACATCTTTTGGAAATTGGAATTTAACATATGGCTCCTTTCCATTATGTCCGACTAGCATACAGCAATGAAACAGGTGTTGTCCATCGCTATTTTTCTTCAGCTTGGAGATCATCCTCACCGTCCGCACGTACGTTTTAAATTTTCCAACCATCATGTCTTTGTTTTCCTCATCCAGGCTACTCTTTCCCAAAGAATTTCCATCCGACGATGACTGGAATGACTTCTCCAAAGTCTTCTTCAGTTGTTTCTCCAGATTATCAACGCGGCACTCCGGATTTACATCAGATTTTTTCTTCTCGAACGATCTGATCAACTCAACAACTTTGTGCGGACCGAAGACCTTGTTCTCCTCCGAGGGCGTCGATGTCAGAGATTCTATATCCGACGTAGTTGGCGACGATATCGACGACGTCTCGCCGCTATTCAAAACCTAAACAAAACAATCACATTTTCTCTAATTAAAAAAAATAACAAGTAGCTATAGTTTTTTTCTTCTTTTCATTTCTTGCTGCAGCTTACAGTTATTTTCCTGCAATTCAAATCGCCGCATTGTTCTCAAGATTCCCATGGTCTTCGCTAATTAATCTCTTATGATTCATATCTCCCGTGAAGATATTTAGCCAAGAAAAAAAAATGAACGAACAGGAAATTAACGAAGATAATTATAACTCGAATTATTTGTTGCCTTCAAAGAAATACTTTTTTAGTTCAAGTATGAATCAAATTTTCATAATTTAAACTATTTGTATTTAATAACTATTAACAGATACATTTATTAATGTAAGAGAAGCAATTGCTATAAGAGCATCAGTCAAGAAACTAATTAAAACTGAACTGAAATTTACAGAAACAATTTATTAATAGAACAGTTGATTCCACTTTATAAACAACAACGCCTGAACTTTGAGCTTTACTTATTGCCTTTAGCCGAATACCTAATATTCAAAATTATGTCGTTTCGCAATTGCCTATTTCTTATTCTTCGAAATACGTTCAGATCTTCGAGGATGATTCAGTTTCTATTTATATTTTTTTCCAACAATAGAGCTAGATTTGCCCACGTCGAGCTCATTCAACTCCTTATAGAATCCCCTTATTTTTGCACCATATTCGCCAAAAGAAAAACCCTTTCATTTCATCTATTTCAAATACATTTTATTGTTTGATTCGACGACGCAGTAAATTAGAAAGTAACAGCATATTGTCATGATGAGCTCCATTGAAATTATGATTTCTATTATTACCCTAAACCGAGACTTTTCGCTTGCAGCTGCAGCCAAATAGGTTTCATTTTGAAGAGGAAGAAAAAAATCTTTACAGATGCAACGAAACAAAGCAAGAGCAATAGAACTGACCTGAAATAGCGCACCTGTCCTACCTGAATGTACAGTTACTATAATGCTTTAATAATTGAAAAGAAAATCCTGAAAAAAAAAGGTTTTCCAGATGACGAAACACTACTGCAAAACCGCCTCAAGAAAATTTATTGATTTTCTTTGAATACGGTTAACTATAATTAAGATTGGACCTATTGTATTTTCGTGGAATAATTACTACTCTGAGAACGTATACATCAGAGGCTAATAAGAAAACTGGTAGATAATTATTACTGTTTAATATTTACAAAAAAAAAGTTATGTTTTCCTTTTCGAAAGCTAAGAGGGCCAATATCCTTTAAATGTCAAGGATTCATTTTATACCTGACACAGCTGCAGTGCGAACTAAAGGAAATGGAAAACAAACTTAAATGTCAGCATGCGAGGCAGCTGTACTTTGCACTTTTGAATACCTCCGAAAAAGAAGGGAATAGCACACAAATAAACATTCAAAACATGTGTTAACTGAGGAAGTTCATGGCTTTTCTGCATCAACGGCAGAATTTTTCTTTATGCTCTCTCATCAGTTTTATAATTAGAACATTATTGAAACCATTATATATTTCGTGACTACAAAACACAATATCTCTATTGATAAATTTTGCCTATTTCTAATTCGGGCGACTGAATAAAGAAAACATTTGAAATGGACAACATGCATTAAATACTAGTGCTACAGCAATAAGAGCTTCCGCTTCGGTGCGTCATTCATGAAACAAAACCAATTTAGAAGTGAGAAAACAACTACGGTGAAGAAGTCTAAGTCTAAATACTACTACTACTACGACTACTAATATGAGGTGCAACCAAGAGGAAGATACCAACAACATCTCGCCATTACCTTTCGATGCATCTTCGAGCGGAAGAAGTTCATCACTGACCAACTGACTTTTTCGCGAGGGAGGCGGCTGTCGCGAAATAATCGATATGCGCCGCTCCCGATTTCTAATTATAGAAACACACATCGTGAACTCCTCCAGAAAATAACCATTCACAACTAATAACAATTGCATAAGAAGAAATGAAGAGAGGCTTTCACGTATCGTTTGGACACGATCCCATCTGCAGCGAACGGGAGAAAGCATTCCATTATACAAATTGATTCGATAGACGTTCTTTTGCAATAATAATAATGTAATTAGTAGAAAGAGAAAATGCTTGCAACGATTATTTATATTTAAAAAAAAATAATTGATAAGTGAAATTTCGAGAGATCCGAAAATCGCGTTACCCAATCAATCCACATCCGATTCTAATCAATTTAAGTAGAAGCAAAAACCGTGTAAAGGCGTCTTAATGTTATAATTACTGCGTGCTTTTTTTTTAAATTTAATCGTCAAGGGTATTCACGTGAGTCAGATCAATTAAAAGGCTTTCTCCGAGTTGTAGGAAAAATCGCATGTACATAAACTAAAAACGTTATGTTATATATTCAATTGCCTAGTTCTAATTGAAACGCGCTATTAGGACATGTGTTGTGCATTCGTCGCATGCCGATCTGGAAATAACGGCGTTTAAACTCCAAACTAACCCACTGTGGTATTAATATGTGCGTCGCCTACTTCCTTTTGTTCGCCGCTTTTCAATCGAGTTTAGAAAATGTGCACGCAATTTTCTATACCACTTTCAACAAAAAAAAAAATGAAATTAATAATAAATATAAAACCCGGAAAAATGCGAAGCTGCGATAACTGAATCCGTATGTGGAACGAGATTATTTCGTTTTTCCGCGGCTTTCCAATTATCTCTCGCGGCCGTCCAGATATCAGCGCACTTAATTTATTCCATTTGAAATATCTGCATAACATTAATACCAGAGGTTTAGTAACCGAACAACCTGTTGCGTAACACAGATCACTGGTTTAGAAAGGACGCGAATCTGATTTATGTCTTGTTGTTGATTAATTCTATTCACTTGTTTCTTTTCGCAGGGTGTATATTTGAATATTACACAATAGTAATTGCAAAACGTCTTGATGCATTCAATTGATTATTGATAATCTTAAGTTAACATTTCCACATCCTTATTAATAATTACAGTTTGATTTTCTTTGATCATCACTTTTAAATAGAAAACTATTGTGTTGTGATCTTGTACTTACTTGATCGTCGTCCATTGTATTCAAAACATATAATCCATTTGGAGACGTTACAGGTGAGCTCTGCAATTAGGAGATATCAACTGTTAGTTTATTACCATTAGATATTAAAGTATTTTGTTGAAAATTGACCGAAAGTAGCAAAACCTACCTCAGATGTGAACCACCATAGATTAATAGAAGAAAACACTTGCTACAAACATAGTATGAAACGCAATTTGTTGTTTTTGTATGCATATCATCATTGTATGCCGCATGCGGTGAGAATCACTTCCGACGACTAAACAACAACTGCCCGGAGAATTTTTCCCGCTCGCCACGAAAATAAATTGTGAATAAAAAAATAATATAGGAATATTATAAAAATTATCAACTTCCTCGATAACCATATCACCCAGAAGCAAACATTTCTAGTACCAGCATTTTTTAAATCAGTTTGTTAGCATTGTCATTGAAATGCGCATACATTCATTTGAAATTGATCTCTTCCATATTTAAGGTAAATTAATAATCTTCTAAACTCACGGTTAATGTTTCAAATAAAAAAATAACTTAAATTATAGTGAAACTAATCTTACCTATTGTAACCGAATTAATTGCGATGCAATAACTGTTGATGGATTATGTAATACTGAGTCACCGATGTGCGCGAACGTGTACTTTATACATAAAGAAAAATATGCACTAAGAATAATTGTTGCGACTCTTCGGGTCATGTGTCTGTAGGGATCTGGTCTAATAACTGATGATGCGACATTAACCATTCGCGATTTACACTCGACCACTTGGAAAGATCCGAACACTCTTGCCGATTCGTGGTAATTCCCTGGTAAAAACCATTACAGAGAATAACATTTAATTGAAATTACTTGTAAACCGCAACTGGAATTGCTCCTTTATCATAACACTATATTTAAATTTAATCTAAACATTTGTTTTCCAATTAAATTTTAAGAAAACGAAATTATATCAAGAAATTAGAAAACACACAAATTATTACATAACGCACTTACATTAGTAGTATTAACAAAAAGGCTTTAGCAAAAGAAAAATATTAATAAATGTTTAATTTTAAATAAATGTAAATTTAAAAAAATATTTTCATTATCAGAACGCTGATGTACTTGAAAATTAATTTGCGATACAAACTGTTGTTATTCAACCGAATAACAAAAGGAACAAAAAATGTAAGTTCAGAAGAGTTGAAGGTTACATAAAATGAATGAATGGATGCGAAAAAATCTAATCGGCAAGAGGATATGAAAAGAATAGTAAATTAAGTTGGAATAAAATAAAGTCAACAATTTTCAAAATTAATGCTTCTAAATATAGAATAAAAGCACTCAAGTATAACGTGGTTAATAGGAAATCGTGTTACACGGGAATTTTCATCATATAACACTAATTCTCGCGAAAAATAACAAGCGTTGTAGGAGAATCGCGTTATATAAAAGTTGTCTCAATAATATTTAACGCGTTATACGGGAGTCTACTGTATAGAAGTTAACGTTCTTGTCGTTTCCATTTATTTAAAGGTACTTCAAATTAGTAAATTTTCGACTTACGAACTGGTTTCTATTCCGCAACTTTGGAAGTCAAATTTCATACAAAATTTTGCGGTGGCAATCAAAATCCCGACAACCGAAATCCCATAAATCAAAATCCCGACTTTATCGAAATCCCGACAACCATAATCCTTACTATATCAAAATCCCGACAACCATAGTCCCTACTATATCAAAATCCCGACAAGCATAATCTTGACTGTATCAAAATCCATACTATATATGTATACGTTCCGGAATAATTTAAAAATGTTATTGCAGAAATTTTCGTTATAGTCGGGATTATGGTTGTCGGAATTTTGATATAGTGGGGATTTCGAACGTCGGGATTTCGATACAGTCGGGATTTTGATATAGCCCCAAAATTTAGATATATAATTATAATATATTTATGTACTAATATGTACAAAAAATTAATAGTTTTTATTTCTGATTTTAAATTTAATAACTACGTCTCAATTACGCCAGGAATATATTTATCAAATAATATATTTTTCGTCGTAAGTTGAATTAGTCGTTACTCTATAAAATATTATAATTAATGAAAAAGAGTTTTGATAATACATTAAATCCATATTTCCAAATGCTAAACTTAATAACAAACAAATCTTAGAAACTTATATATAGAGTCACGCCAAGGGGAAAATCGAAAGTTTCCTTTTTAATAACGAAACGCACGAGACGAAGCAATTCTCTCCTCTTTTTTTTTGTAATGGATCGAAAAGAACGATGCATGAAAATGAGGGTCTTCTGTCTCTCTACTTAACACAATGCATTCCAAATGATTTCCTTCCCGCGGACGCAAGTGACTAAGAACGGAACGAGAATACAAGTTCCCAGACCACAAGCGTCAATGAAGACACACACACAGAACAACAAAAAAAACGTTACCGGAAGATGATTTACTAATCAGAATAAAGAACCAGTTTAGTGTAATGCTCCAAACATACGCATTAACTTTAGATGTTAATTGATGAGAACAAGAATATCTTAAAATTAACGAAGATGAACAGTTACAGAACGACGAAATGATAAGGCTAAAATCGAATAAACAACAAACCCAAACATATTTTATATAATTAACTAGTGTTTGTTATCTGCAAAGCTGAACCCGCATTGAATAAATAAACATTATCCCCTGAACCATGTACAGTTAGTGAGATTATTAAACCTGCGATTACATGAAGCCAATTAAAGATCGATCAAAGAGAAATTCTTTCATACGAAAATAACATGCCGGTTTATTTTTTGTATTTTGGAAAGTGTTTTGACACCAAGGTGTTAAAATTGACTTGATTTCTTTATTATTAAAGAGAATTAAATAAATTACATAATATTTCATGCAGCACTGAAATTAAGTAGTCTACGAAATACACTAATTATTTTTGCGAATTGCGAAAATAAAGCAAACTGCACGTGAAAGGCGCCACAAATTGCGTTCATTTAAACAGAAAAAAAAATATCTGTTTGATAAATTCGCTTTTCACAATAAGTGCTTTAAATAAGCAACTCGCAAAGCTAACTATTCTTACAATAATTTACTAAGGTTAATCAGGTTATTGTTATTACTACTAGTAGAGCAGTGCCCTTCGAGAAAAATGTAAATATTGCAAACAAAAAAGTGATAAAAGTAAATAAACAGAAAGAAAGATGTTCGTTAACGAGGGACGACCTGAATATTGCAACCTTTCAATTTAAAAATTGTTTTCTTGGTGATAAGCCGTAACCTTCGCGTTCAGTCGTTTCGTTTGTAAGTAGTCAAACTAATTATTTACCAATGACAATAACTAAAAATATATGAAGAGGCAATACGCAAATATTTTTTAAACGGTAAATTACCATTGCTAATGCAAGTGAATCATGTGCATTGTTTACAGCTAACCGCAGAAGCAGAGACGATTTTCTGTAAATCGACTTATACGAGAAATAAAAATGTAATTTCATAAAATGCAGTTTATTTAGTAAACATTGCCAAACAAAAATCTCTTATAACAATTTATTTTAATTAGAGAAACAAATATTCAATAAATTTTGCTTATATTGAATTATTTGTAGAAAAACAATAAGAATGTTTATATTAAATGTTAAATAATGGTACAATTAAATAAGAAATTCGTTAAAATAATGTTACAATATAATATATTATAATAAATAAATATTTGTTTTGAGGATTAAAGGTATTAAGAATAATATAGAAAATGGTTCTTTAAATTAATCTAAATTTAATTGACTATACTTATTTTTGGCAAAATGTGTAGTAAAAGGAAAATGTTTATCTTCTACATTCTCAAGAAAACAACATTTACAGTTAAAGAATGAATCACCATCGCCGCAGCACATAGATATATAAACAATGATGTATTTATCCTCAATTGGTTCAGTAACTCTTTAAGTATACACCAAACATATTATATTTATATTAAAGTATTGTTTTTGTTGTTACTGTATAGATGCTGCGCCTGGAGTTATTAATAGAACGCAAAGTTAAGTTGCATTTAAATTGGAAATCTCACATTTGACCGCATAGCCATTTAAATACTGAAGCATGCACTCAGTTCAAAGCAACCAGACCATGTAACTGGATTTCATTACATCGCGTTTTCTGCAACTTACTTTTTTTTTCTCGAAAGGCGCTCTTTACAAAACCAAAAAAAAAACCTCTACCAATACGAGAGAACCACTACAATGTTTAACTCACCATGTAGTACAAACTATTTCTGTTCATTTTCTTATCATCGTCCTTAACATACGCGTCTTTGGATGGGAATACAAAGGGTTCCGCGTACACCGGTTCTTCGTCGTCGAAGAACTTGGATGTCGGTTGACTGATGGCCTCGTAGGTAGCGTTGGAACAACTCAAAGATTGCAAACAATTGAAGTTCAATTTTCCCATCTTGTTGCCGTCCAAGGCCTCCTCCTCGCCGGAACTAACATCCACCTTCTTGTGACGCTGAAGACGGCCGCGGTTCGCTTTCAGAGCGTTCTCTAGCTTCTCCAACATATAAGCTGGAGACTTCTTCTGCTCCAAGTTCTTCTGCAGGTTGTCGTTAAGCTTCTGCGCGAATTCCTCTTTGGTTTTGTTTGTCTTCGGCGAGTGTTGGAAGGTACGCGGCGGCTTCTTCGGCGCCGGCCCTTGCGGCAGTGGTTTCTTTAAAGCTAACTTAAGCGTGTCCGTCAGCACGTTCAGCTTCTGCACGTACTCTTGATGTGTCGAATTTGTACTAATCTTTTTAACTTCGCTCAACTTCAGCGTGCTCGTCGTGTGTATGGTGATTTCCTTCTGCTGGCGCTGGCACTTAGGAATTGGTTTCGTGTAGAGAACAGATATATTCTCATACCTGAGCTCCTCCTTATCCTCTGATTTGTTTCTCACTATTTTCTCACAGGTATTGCTGCGCTCCTTCAGCATTTGCTTTGATTTGGTGAACAGGTTCTCCTGAGAATCAAACCTCTTGCGGAGCATGCTGAAGGTGGGTGGTTCAAGGGATTTGGTTTCTGTCACTGGGTTCTTCCTATTATTATCACAGTATTTGCTCGTCAGACTTTTGTTCTTGTTCAATTTCACACTTATCTGGGTCCCATTCCTTTGCAGCACTTTGTCATTGCGGAAGGCAGGGGACCTTTTGATGTTCACTTTCACTGGGTCACTGAGCTGCCTTGACAGGGCTGCTGCTGGTGGTTTGCTGACATTGTTGTAAAGCTGAGTGTTGATGTTTTCATTGTTTTCAAATTTACTTTTCATTGCCCTCACCCGATTGCTATTCTCTGGGGGCTTATACATCTTTGGAATTGAAGTTTTTTCTTTTTTTTTTGTTCACTAAACAACTTCTAATTTGTTTGTTTCCATGGCTTTGCTCACAATTTAATTGAACAATTGATATGCAAATGTGGTGAGGGAATTAAGCAGCAGGCCAAGCAACAGGTGCATTTAAGTAGGCTCATTCTGGAAGAAGAGAAAAAAAATTGATACAGTGAGAAGAAAAATAAGATGTGTGGGGAGAGAAACATAATAAACTTTTCAATTATATTTCTAATTGGATATATACGAAAATACTTACTCGGAAGAAATTTCCGAGGGCCTCTCAGATCGCTTTAATTGTACCTCCTTGGAAACTAATTGGTTTCAATAAATTCTCGTTTCACAACACCACACCAGCAACTGAGTATGCTTCCAATGCTTCTAAACTACTGCTGCTTGGTATGAATGGGAAACATACGGCGAAGGACACCGATTGGAATATGTTCTTCATCCTTCCAGCAGATGGCTGCAGCTGTACAATAACAACATCATAACAACATTAAATTCCAATCAATTTACACGAAAACACAATTATATTAATTAATAATATTAATCTTATTACGTTGATTTTTCTCTTTTAGCAATAGTTTATTTAATCCTCAAAAACATATAATTGTAATTGAAAGTGTAATGGAAAACATCCTATAAAATTAGAGCAAATTTCTAATCAAATAAATCTATTTCTAAGTGTTTACACAAGTATTTACCATGGATTTTTAAAAACTATAGTTCTATTCCATTACTAAACTTAATTTTGTTATATAATCACATATAAAGATGAACTTTTCAAATTAACATTAGAATTCTCCTCAATCATCATTATAATTAATTAAATTTGAATTTGAGTTCGCTTTTATTGAGGTTTTTACATTTTTTTTGTAGAAATCAATATGTTATGTTTTGTGAACTTCATCATCAGATATCTTTAATCCTATTGGATTATACATAATTAAATTATTTTTAAATTTATTAGCTTAAATGTATGGTTTCATTAATATTTACATTAATAAAACTTATAATTAACTAAGCCGTTATTTCGTGTCCTTGGATGAAAATCACTGTAGAATGTTGTCTGATGATGTGTCTTAGGGTTGTAAATAACTCAATTCAACGGATTTTACTTGTGATTTATTATTAATATTCTTTAAGCTAGTTTCTGATTTATTATATTATTTGTTATGCCCTTAACGATATTACTAAGACTTACTTAAAATACATAATCTACTTATAAAGTGAACTATTGTTAATACGGAGTAATAGTTGTGATTTGGTAGGACTTGATGCATATGTGTCGACACGGCAATGCAATTCTTTATCATTCTCCGAATCCGGTCCCAAATTTCGATGAGATTTGTCGATTCTGGTATTGATAACTTGTATTAATTCATATATACAAAAGTATTGTAAAAAGGTAATTGCTTCTGTCTCTAATTACTTCTAATGGTTGGACACAACAAGGACAAACATCCAAACATCACCTTTAGCTAAAGTTTTCCGCTTAGCATTTAGTGGAAATGACCTGTAGTAATTTGCACACAACATAACTGCCAGTTAAAGTTAATTAACTGATTTAGATTATCATACAACTATAATAATAATCATTTATAAAACTAATTTCGGATAATAAAAACCCAAATTTGGAATTGGTAAATAGATTTCATTCAAGTGGTTCCGAACGAGTAAACAAGCCTAGACTATAATGTCAATATTTGTACTAGCAGTAAGAAACATACGAATTCTTAAAAGAAATAGGAAACGAGAAACTATATAAATATTTATGTGAAAAATAAAATAAGACTTAAAACCTTAACGATATAAAATATATATTTATTTCCGTACATTCTACAACAGTTTTACGATCACAGTAATCAAAGCAAAAAAAAAATAATTAAATTCTCGTCACAATAAACGAATGTAATGCGCGATGCACATAAAAAAAACGATAATAATCAAGGTAGTAGTAATAAAATGGTGAAGAATCACCGATATTCTTGTATTGGTAGTTGTAATTCGGATTTTGATGTGCGCTGTTGAACTACATGGAGACCTCCTGTTTCATGGTTCCCATTTCTTCGAGGAACTCTTGCAGACCCTCCGGAACCTTCCCTTCATCGATCTCCTTAGACCAGTTGGTATACTAAAACCAAAATAAAGGATAAGCTTATAATTCTTATTTTTTTATATAGATTTTGAACCTTCTCCAGTTCCTTTCGTAGAGCAAACACTGCCTTTTCTCTATCGGAAACCAAGTCCTCCAAGTATTGGTAACGTAACTTTTTGCGAGCTCTGCACTCCCTCGCGCTTTGTCTACTACGTTCTAAAACAAAGATAAAAACATATATAAATAATGTAATTTTGTGTTATTTTAACCCTTTGAACGTCCAGAAATTCCTACATTTCTAGACCCAGACAACTTCGTCAACTGAATAGTATGGCCTGTCAAAATTCATCCCTTAACATACCAATCAAATTAGAGGGCCTTTTTGTATAAAATTATAATAACGCCTCACTAGGCATGTTAATAAGATGGTACAACGCGTGTCACACCACCCTTCAAAGAGTTAATAACAAATTAATCTTCATGACTATAAAAAATCAGCAGAAAACTTCATTGTAACTAAATAAATGATATTAATAAAAGCATATTCTAATTAAGTATAGTAATTGAGATTTATTGTTACCTAATTTGGCTTTCATGTCCACTTTGTCGGCACTCTTCCGTCCCGGCTTGCGTCCTCTCTTTCCCGATTCCTTACGGTGAGGACCCTCCTGCAATAACAAACAAACACAAAATTAAACCTCTTATTTCATCATCTTCGTTTCATTCTTCATTTTTGTTTATAAGTTTATTAATAGTAAAAAATATGCAAGTAAAATTCGTTGTAGTTTATGAAACATGTTTCCACTTTTATTTATTTAATATACAATTATAATAAATATAATATAAAAATAATATAATAAAAACTAAATTAAACCTCGTATTTCATTTAAAAAAGTGATCTTCGCTTCATTCTTCATTTTGATTCACAATTTAATTAATAAGTAAACAAAATAAACCATTAAAGTTTATGAAACATGTTTCCATTTTTATTTTATTTATTTACATGCTGCAATTATAACAAAAACTAAATTAAACTTCGTATTTCATTTAAAAAAGTCATCTTCGTTTCATTCTTTATTTTTATTCACAATTTAATTAATAAATAAACAAAATAAACCAGGAAAGTTTATGAAACATGTTTCCATTTTTATTTAATTACATGCTGCAATTATAACAACAACAAAAAAAACAGTCACAGGTTTCTTGAAGCACGACGCATTTTTATATTATCACTTCGACAATTCGTTACGTTTCTACAAGTCGACATTATCTTGTTTGTTGCTTAAGATAAGAGAAACTTTGCGGCACGGTTTCCGCAAGAAACAGAAACCAAACAAATCTAATCAGAACTAATTGAAAATTATTTAATATTTTCACTGTTAAACTCATTAGATATAAATAAGGTGCGCGTATTAAAAGTCTCAATGATAACGCGTTAATATTTGCTGTTTATTTATAAATCATGTGCAATGACATAAACTGTGTATTTTTTTTTTGCAAATACGTCGTAGTTTTCAACGCAATTTATATATTTTGTGCAACATATGATTATTGACATAATAAGTAGCAATTAGTAAGATAGATTGATTCATATGTTATCATTAGTTGGAGATGATTCATCAAGTTACTGTAGTTTTCTTGATATTTAGTTTACGTCTGCATTTTCATTGATATTTGTTACATGATAATAATTAATGTAAAGTATCATTTTTTTTTTGTAATTATTGGGAAAGTAGGTTTCATTCAAATTGTAATAAGCGCTGCGATCGATCGATTTGCATTGGAATCGGAGGCTTGGCAACCGTTCACGTGGCAACCAAGGTTTCTTGTTTATTTGTACCCGATTCGGGGATGCGACGGAGAAGAGATTCGAAGCGTTGAAGCAGTAAAATCCGTCGACGAAGAGTTAAAAATAAATAATCTTAATTGATGAGTACACCGGAGCAACGGATGTTCGAATTGCGCGCACTTTCATCAGCACGTGTTTTCCTTGAGATTGGGATAGGTAAAGGAGAGACAACAATAAAAAAAGAATGTATTATATGAAAAAAAAAACAACACATTATAACAACGAGCGATGGGATTGGCCATAAATAACGTAACCGGTTATTAATAAACGGCAGACTTTTCCAGCTAGACTTTTCCGCGGAAAAAGGAACGTGCCAGACATGACTTCAGCCACTTGATTAGCATTATTTAACATTTCAAATCAACTTATTTTTATTACTCTATAAACAATATCTATACACATCTTTGTCTTCATCTTCACATATTATAAAACCAAGTGAAATACAGTGAAATACCTCGCTTAACGAGTTTAATCCGTTCCAAAATTTCCGGATTTTTACTCGTATAGTGAAACATAAAATTCAAGTTTTAAAAATGATGAAACAGGCGGGCAATTCAGGACTTCTCATTGTCACTCGTTATGCGAAACTTCGCTCGTTAAGTTAAGCAATTTTCTTACAATTCATTTTGGTCGTTAAGCGAGGTTCCAATGTACATCAAAAACTACATCGTTTGAGGTAAAATCTATATACTGAATTATGCATATAATTACTATTTAATTATAATTAATACGTGGTTTAATTAATAGAAAGTCTTGTCCCATTTTAAAGTAAATCAATTTTCTTCATTTTAATTTTCAATTTAATGTACATTTCAAATGGTCACTCAAAAGTGAATAAGTAAACAAATTAAATGGCGAAAAAAACTGCGTTTTTGTTTAATTACAGGCCAACAAAGAAAATTTTGCTAATCTAATTGTTAAAGTTGACCAACAAACAAAAAATTGCAATAATTATTTCCAATGCAATTAAGTTTTGAAAGAAAACTTGAACATGAGATGTGTGTATATTTATATTTTTTTTTTCTATGAAAGTATGCTGCGATAATGAAACTTGTTCTTGTGATGATGATTGTATGCAAGCACACACAAGTTTCATTGCAAAAGAGAGAATCGAGGAAACGACGCGGAGAATACCCACGTTTACGTTAAGTAAATTTGCAACAATGATATTGAAAAAGCCAATCCCATTTTGCAGGCGAGAACCGGCGCGGAGATCGTCGGACGTTCGTCACTTAATTAGCACGCATCGTTGCAATTACGCAACTTATTTGGGTCGTAAATGTATTTACTTAAAAGAAAAAAGTATTATTTATACAAAAAACTAAGTTCTCATCTGCTTTGAAAAGTAACTAGTGTTTAATCAAATGTGCGTGTAAGAGAAACAAAAAACGGAATTCCACGAACTCGCATAAACGCAAGGACTTTTGTTTCGCAATCTATAAATAAATAGAAATAAGTCAATAAAACTAATGGCAATTGAATCAAATACGCATAGTTGGATTACAAAAACAAAAATTAATAATACATTCACCTTCATCACCTGTTTCCTTAATTATAACTGAAATACAAACATATCTTTTGATTGGAGTTAAATTGATTTGTTAATATTTCATAATTATATTCAGAAATTTATCAATAGATGAGTAAATTAAGTAATTAATACCTTATTTTGTAGAAACAAAAATAAACATTTCATAAGAGAACATCACATTTCTATTGTGCAAGTTTTATATTCAAATCAATTACAGTGGAACCTCGCTTAACGAGTTTAATCCGTTCCAAAATTTTTTACTCGTATAGTGAAACACATTCAAAAATACACATAATATGTGAACACCAGTTTTAAACATGATGTACTTCTCTTCTCATCGTCACTCGTTATGCAAAACGTCGCTCGTTAAGCGACTCATTTTTCTTACAATTAATTTTCTTTCTTATAGTACAACAATTTGAAGCTTTATCTTTATCATTTACTTTAAGATCTATAAAGTTGTTACTGTTATCATTCAATAACTTTAACACAAATTTAACATTCGTTTAATAATTCCATGGGATTTTATTTGTTAGTTAAGATTGTTGTGAGCGATTATGGATTTAACAGGTAGCAAATACACAAGTTGACACTTGTCGGTGATGGAGAGTATTATTGACTAAAGTAATAAACGTGCAGATTACAAGAGTTCTGGATTCTACTGTGCATTCATTCGTGATACAGACGCGCACTTAACAGGATGGATGGATTACGGTGAATCCGGAAATGACGATGACAATGGACGTTGCGTGTTACAAAGTGCTCGTCGTAATGGAGAACAGAACTAGTTCGCCGGGAAGGAGGAAAATCGAAGGTAGAACAACAACAACAAAAAAAAATAGGAACGAAGAAGTTGGTTAAAAGAAGATTGATTTGGTATTGCTCACCGTGATGCGTATAAATGCGTCGTGCTGCACACGCAGGAGTGGATCGTGTGTTACTAGCAGGCTATATAGTAGTAATTTATTGTTTCCTGTTTCCGTTTATCCTTCTTTATTACTTTACTTTATAATATTTGCAGAACTCTGTGCGCGCTTTTAGTGTTACGGTGAGGAAGGAAATGTGCAGCACGGACACCGACTTCGAACTGGTGGTGATGATCCTCCTGCAGGCCGATAGTAGCTAGGCTGGCCGACTCCTCTGATCGTCGTAGCCAGTTGGTCTGACCGCGAGACTCCGCGGCGGAACAGAAAACAAATTATATATTGCGCAGTTTTGTTTTGCGACTGAAAACGCGGCTGCCTGCGTTGTTACCGAGCCGAATGAACGGACGAACGTAAATACACATACTACATACATACATTAATACGTACATACATAGAACTATACATAACAGATACGTGCCTACACTTGGTCTACAGAGAGCACGCCACGAATCCAATAGATATAGGGTCTTCAAACCTGATCCTCTCCTTATAAAGCGCTCTTGATATTACTTAGATTGCGCTGCATATTATAGTAATCCTATATAGTTAAAGAATACGAAACTTTGTAATTTTATTTCTTTACAATAATATAATAAAACTTGATATCAATAGATAGCTTAAAGAGTTGATACATTATGTTTCAAACATTGTTTTACTGCAAAAAAATCATAATTTCATAATGAAAGAAACGAGTTTTTAAAATGACCCGGCGCCTCGTTAATTACGAAACAACCTAGGAATGTCCACACTTGATGAGGTCGTGTCCCAGTTGGCACTCGCTAAAATATTTGTTTCCGTTTCTTTATTCTTCCTTTATTCAGTCCTCTCCCTTTCATTGAAATGCGCAAACTGCGACTTACTTCTAAACCAGTTACATGCACATCATGCACGGTTCCCCCCGATTAATGTCACCATTCACTACGTTTTACCTTCAATCCCAATTACATACATTGCGATAGTCGCCGCTGCAAAACAGCTACATTAAACGAACGAAACAAAAAAAAACAAGCAAAGGAAATCGTGTATTCTTTTTCCCTCTCGTATCCATTTACATATCAAATGAATCCGACAAAATTTCAGCGAATTCGCGGAAATATCTCCAAGGTCCTCTCCATTAATAATAACAACGATAATAGTCCTTCAGCATTGATATAACCAGTGGTTAACTTGATGATGATGATGTTTGTTCGATGGTAATTCTCTTAACGAACGGAAAAATCTCCACGTATTTGCGTTTTTAATTACAGAGAACAAAATTATGCAATGAGCGCGTAGCGTGCGCTCGTTACGCAACTGTCTAGAGTCTAGACACTGGAAAATTGATAGAATTTTGTTTAACCAATCGATGAGTGCGCCAAAATCGACGATATGTTCCAATGCACAAATACAATTTGTTTGTTTCCTGAACGCAATTTCTACTTTTTTTTTTCCTGATGCGAATCGAATGATTAAAGGGCACAGATTATCCTCACACATTATCTCCATCGCAACTATTTATGTTATCCGGAAATAGCGAAAACGTCACAACAACAACAATATTTGTATTGCAAAACTTTAAATGTGTTTAAAGCTTTATTAACAGTAATGTTCAATGTTTTCGCATAAATAATATAAGAGTAATTAAATGAAATGTAAAAACGTCATAAATCAGCTAATAATTAACATTATGCAATACTTGTATTATATAAAAAGATGCACAATAAAAAAACACTTTGTTATGTAATCAAAGAACATGTAATTTTTTTTTATAATTTTCGAATTAATTTGCAAAATTAAAGCCAGTCACTAAATGTATTTTCTAGGGTCCTTAATCTTATTAAAATAATCTACAATTGTAAGTCTTAATCTGTTTCGTAAGAATGTAATGAATAATTTTTAAAAAATGTGCAAGTCAATTTTATTATATGCAACCATATTTACATGCGTGCTAGTAATGAAAACAAACCAACCAATGATAAATTTTCAGCGAAATTCCTATATTTAACACGAAATTTAATGATTCAATGAAACATCCCATGATTATTCATTAAATATGAATGACAACATATTCATGGACTTATAAGAGCATTATCGTTTGAGATATCGAATCGAAGCTGTTTGATGATTAAGAAACAAACAAATATGTGTATGATTAGATTATGCATTGATACAGTTACCGATAAGATAAAGTGTACTTTAAATTTAAAAATTCGCGCTCTTGATTGAGCGCGACGCGTGCGCGTTCGTGAAAAAATGTGTAACCCAATCGTGCCTCTCCTTAAGTTCGTTCACAGTGTAAATGGATCAAATTTATCATCGTTAAGCATATTTTTCGATCACTGCCAACTAGATTGGAGCGTTTCTTTTGCGAAAATATGTCTTTATGTTTGCAGTTGGAAACGCATCTTCGTGGTTTCCTTCTGTTTTTTTGTTGTTGTTGTTGTTCGAAGCAGGATCTTGGGATGGCTGTTATGTTATGGTGAGGCAACAAGGGTCGCATATCTTCGAAGTCTTAACACGAGTAAGGAGTATTAAATTGGATTGTCATGGACTACTCACGGATGGATTATGCTCCTCGATGATCGTCATCTCTTGGAACTCCATCGTTCACTCGCGTATGGGTTTCGTTTGTTTGTAAAATCGATTATGAAACAATCCGTTCCACACAAAACAGATCAACGTGTTGCTGTTTACAAACAACTACAAGGTCATTATATACACTCATTACGTCACGAGACTCGTGTCGTCCAATTAAAACGCGCGAATCCTGACCTCTGACGACCATTAATCCAACTACATTCAAATATTCAAAGGACAATTGATCCACCTTATTCTATTTTCATAATTAACGATCTCTATTTACTTTCTGCGTAGATTCATTTTATTATTTCTTATTTTAATGATACATTCACATTAAACAATGTTTTGATAATGAATTACTGTAATTGGTTGTGTAATGCACAATGTGAGGTAAAGTTTATTAAAAAATAAATAATTATATACATAAATATACAAATAATAAAAGAATACTCTATAACATGGTGTGTTATTTTTAAATAGTTGCGTTGAGGCGAAAAACGAAAGGTGTGCTAAAATATTTACTGACGAAATAATAATTGCACTAATTATCCTGAAAGTGATCACACATAGCCCTATATCATAACGTACAGCATACTTGGCACTAATAACATGTATTTTACTTGATTATCTTGAACTTAAAAAAACATGTAAATATATCGAGAAACTCCATCGTAAAATATTGGTTTTGACAAATATTGTTATTAAAGCTAATTATAAATATATTTATTAGACGTAAAATTACTAAGGCCACCTTGACTCGTCATTTCCATAGAAACGAGGAATGTGTTTTAGAAACATTAAGCACACAAGCACCTAAACTCGCCATTCCCAACGTCGATCCTCAATGGTATAAGGTTCTAGGATTCACGCTGATCATCTCGTTTGTGCTGCAAATTAGTTTCAATTATTCATTTGACCGTGAAGTGATAAATTAAAGCTTACCTCTTTCCGCATTTAATATGGATAAATAGTAAAGCTATACCCAAAACGAGGCAGACGCAGCCCACCACAATGTAGGCAATTCCCAAAAACGGATTCTTCCCTCCCAACAAAGAAGTCGTACTCAAAATCATCCTTTTTGAGCCGTCAAAAGCGCTCACGTCGTAATCTGAAATTCATTAAATCAAATGTCACATCCACTAACACAAAGAAAAGTAGGTCGACTCGACCATCCCAAATTGTATTGATTAAATGATAAAAATGAACTTACAATAATCAACGACTAGCTCATATTCGCCTTTCTGAAGACCATCAGCGTATCCTTCCTCCGTGTGATTCACCCTGCGATAGATCTTCCTAAAGGTCGGAAGCGCAGCAGTTCTCATCCACACGATTAGGTCTTCGTTTTGGAAGCCGTTGTTGTCAGGGTTTTTAAGATCTAATTCGTATATGTTTTTCCTCCAATCTTTGGGTTTGCTGAAATTCTTGAATGCCATTTCCAAATCGCCTTCGGGATTCTTAAATTTAATATTCTTATCCGAATCCCACGCTATACCAGTGTTTATAAGCGGAACACTATGTTTTCCCTTATTGATCGTTAACACATCTACAAACACAAGTTTTCAATCACTATAAAAGTAACTTTTTAATTGTAATAATTTACCGCTGAATAACGAGTTGGCTATGGCTCCACAAGGTGCGATAGGTTTACCATCAGCAGCGTAAGCAAAGGGTAGACAATCGGTTGAAGGCGCCAGATTCAAATTACCCAACAGTTGATTATCGTCTCGTGATTTAACGTATCTCCTGTGGTTTTGGTAAAAGTTGCTCAATCCATAATACATGTAAACTTTACCCTAAAATCATCAAATCAATAAAACGAAAACTCTTTTAATCTAAGCATTCTCACCTTGAAATCAGTATCCAAAGTGAACTGCATATGACATATGCAAGGATCTTTGGTGGCATCAAAGCCTTCTTCTTTAATGATTTCAGCACAGGGCCTGCCCATGTCCTTTATGTACCCATCATAAAGCTTCTCAGTTTTATTACACAAAGTATAATCAATGATCTTCTCCTTGACCTCATCAGAAAAGTACAGCAGAGCAATCCCAACAGGAATGAAAGCGATTCCAATCACAAAGAAGGCAGGAAGAACAGTTCCTGCAGTTAGGATAGGTTGCCATGCTGGTAGTCGTTGTTGCTTGAAAGCAGAATCTGCAAATTAACAATAAAAAAAAACATGAACTCCTTGAATCATCACTCACAAAGTCTCCCCATTTTTACAGAACTGCACTGTTCGTACAATTTTTTCTCCAAATGAATAAAATATGTGATATTGAATTATGGATTGGCAATTATCAGAAAACATGTGTGAGTGTATGTAATTTAACAACAGAGTATGTGGATTGCTTGCAGCTGCAGTTTTCAGTAACTTAAAATATTGACATGCCTATAATTAGGTTAGTCATCAAGTTTTGATACTAAAATCAATAATAGTGCAATAGATTTGTGCTTTAACAGACACACACACATATTTTCTATATAAGTTGATGGGAACAACAATAATAAAGGTAAAGAATGTACTGAAGTTCTGGGAAGCTAAAGTAAAATCAATAAATCTGGGATTGGTTATTGATGTATTAAGACCAGCACTCACCAGAAGGCTTCTTGTTTCGCAAGCTGGAATCAGCACTTTCTGGTGCCATTGTTTCAAATCACTTATTTAAAATTTTCTATGCTTATTTTACTTTGAGAGTAAACGAATAACTAATAATATTTGTGTATGTTGCTGGCCACTTTAACTACTACCCATTGATCTGTCACACTGACATTTAGGTATAACAGCGTTGCAATGTTCCCAAAAACATATGTTCTTCTAAAACACTTAATACTCAATTAGGAAATATTACAATTTACTAATTAAGTAAAGAGTGTTTAATTAAATAATCCATTCATTATCTATTTTTAATTGTATTGTCTATACACTGTTGCCATTTTTAATTACATTTATATCTGAAATTCCTGAAATTTTTTTTTTGGAAAAAAACTACAAGTTTTTGAAAAGCTACATACTTTCAAATACTTAATGAATTCTATATATAAACCCTATTAATCAAAACTTAATTAATCTTAGTGAAAACAAATGAATACTCAATAATTAAAGTATGAAAGAATATAAAGAAAATGGATGGAAAGACCTAGGCTCAGTAGTTGTTAATAATTGAAATTATCTAAATCTATTTATGTGATTCTTATATTACATTATAATTGTTGATATTATAAATAAAACAGTTAATTTTTACGAAGGGACAGAACTGTATTTAAATAAACATACATTTATAGTAAGTTCAATATTTCTCCATGGTTATTGGTCAAAATCTAATTTACTTGTGATAATTCGTGAAATTATATTATGTAAATATTATGATAGTCATATGATATTTTATCAACGATTTTGTTGATTAACAATAATAAACAATAGAAAAGATAATAGGTGTACTTACCACGTTCCCAGATATATGTAGGCATACTTCAATATCATGGTAATGCGATGGTAGACGAAAACAGACTAAAAGGTGTTGATTAAAACACTTTTGTACTTTATTTACTAATCCAATTATTTGAAATGTGCGATTTCAATCACGTACGAAGTGTCCATCAGATTGTTTTTATAACATTGCATAAACATATATGACGACACAAACCACAAAATAATCAATACATTTAAATGTTGAATTACTTTGTAGTAAACAATAAGATAATTATGAACATAAATCATCATGAAATTTGAATTTTACTATTCCTTTAGTTGATAATTAATACTAGAGATGGCACAGAATCTTGATATTTGAAGAAAAACCAGTAAATTTGTTTATAACTACAATATTTTGATATTTATACTTGATGTAAATAATTCTACAGATTAGATCATTATATAATAATACTTAACGATATTCATTTTGTATTTAAATCTATGCAATATTCATGAAATTTAAATTTTACTATTCTTTTACTTGAGAATTAATACTAGAGATGGCACAGAATCTTAATATTTGAAGAAAAACTAGTAAATTTGTTTATAGCTACAATACTTTGATATTTATACCTGATGTAAATAATGCTAATAAAGCTACAGATTATATAATAATACTTAAGGATATTAATTTCGTATTTGAATTCAAGTAGAAATTTACAAAATTTGTTATTATTTTTTAAAGTAAAGCAACAATTACTTGGATATTTAATGCATTATCTAATAATAAAACTAAATTTAATGTGTTTCTACTCAAATTGGAGAAATGTAATGTTCATTTGAATTAATTGTGTTTACCAATCTGAACTACAAGATATTTGCTTTTGGCGGTAATATTGATTCTTTGAATCTGCTTTGAAATCCAAACAGAAATTCACAAACAATCCCAGAACATAACCTATGCAAAAAAAAATTGAATGTTATTTGTGAATATGGATTCAGATGAAGAATTCAGTCAATTTTGTGATAATTATTTGGAGGAAGACACTGTAAGTTATCATGAAAACAGTATTAATTAGAAATGTCATTAATTCATTATTGTTTTATAATGATTTTAGAATTTGATACTTGATAATAAAGATACTAACAGACTTATTGAAGGCTCTAAGGATTTATCAGGTAATTCGTATTTAGTACTGTTGGGGTGTTGTTGTAAATGTGTGTTTTCTTAGATTTGGAAGCTCCACAACAATGTCACATAGATGTTTTGAAGAAAGTGTTTGGTCATACAACATTCAGACCTATGCAATGGAAAGTGATAAATTCCATTATCAAAGATAAAAGAGACAACTGTGCTATCATGGCTACAGGATATGGGAAATCTTTGTGTTACCAATTTCCAGCAATGTATTTGAAAGGAATCACTGTAGTCATATCACCTTTGATTTCTTTAATGGAAGATCAAGTTCTTTCATTGAAGGTAAATCTAACTTGTTGTATAAATCTTATATATCTTCTAATTGAATAATTTTAGATGGCCAATATACCTGCTACTTTAATGTGCTCATCAAATGCTAAAATAAGAGATACAGCTGATGAGATTTTGGATGATGAATATAGACTGATTTACATGACTCCAGAGTTTGTGTGTGGCTCATTTGGATCTGGATTGTTGCAGAAAATGCACAAAAATCTGAATTTGGTGCTGATTGCCATCGATGAGGCGCATTGCGTGAGCACCTGGGGTCACGATTTTCGTGCCACGTACCGTCATTTGGGTGATCTCAAGAAATACTGTCCAGATGTACCATTCTTGGCTGTAACAGCCACCGCGACTGCAGTAGTCCGAAGCGACATAGCAAAGTCTTTAAATTTGAGGTAAAAAATTACTTTGTTACGTTACATTTCTATTGGATGTATTACATTTTTAGGAACCCGCAGTTTTTGTGTTCCGGTTTCGATAGACCTAACTTGTTTTTTGAAGCGCACAGTAAGAGCAAATCCAATCAAATTTTGTCGGATATCAAAAAATGCATGCATTTAAGCAAATTTAAAGGATCCACGATCATTTATTGCATCACGAAGAAGATGACAGAAACCATAGCGCAATTATTAAATTGTTTGTATGAAATATTTAAGAAAATTTAAATCTACTGAAACTCTAAAATTTTAGCGAATGGGGTGCAATGTGGAATGTATCATGCTGGTATGAGTCTACCGAAAAGGAAGGAAACGCACGAAAACTTTGTTAAAGACAAGGTGAAATGTATTGTAGCCACGGTTGCTTTCGGAATGGGTATAGATAAACCGGATGTGAGGAATATTATACATTACGGCGCTTCCAAAGATTTAGAAAGTTACTATCAGGAAGTTGGAAGAGCGGGAAGAGATGGTCAACCTGCGAAATGCATAGTTTTCTACGGCAGGGACGATTTTCAAATCCAAAAGTAACTACAAAAATAACAAGTTGAATTAAACATAACATATAAACTTCTAGACTCCTCAACGAACAAGTCAAAATGAATGAAAGTGTGAGGAAACACAAGGAAAACATGTTGAATTTGATGCAAAAGTACTTGGACTCCAATGGATGTAGGAGATCGTTCATCCTCGACTACTTTGGCGATTCAAACTATCAAGTTGCAGATGAATCTGCGTGTTGCGATAATTGCTTAAAGAAGTATGATTTTAGTTAATTTGAGTTTCTTGTAATTACAAGTATTTTATTTCAGGATAATCGATCCTAATTTCGAAGAAAATCGTTTGGTTGATTTTACTGAAGATTCTCGAGTTTTGTTGAATGGAATGGACGGAATGGGGGGTAAATTCGGATTGGAGAAATATGCTTTGTTCTTGCGCGGCTCTTATAGCAGCAAATTGAGTGCGCAGTTGAAACAACACCCTTTACACGGAAGTGGTAAATATAAATCCGAAGGATGGTGGAAAGCACTAGGTAATTATTTAAAAAAAAAATCGGAATTGTTTTTAAATATCTGTACTTAGCCATTCAATTATGCAATGAGGGTTCTATTGTTAAGGAATTCGTAAAGAAATCGACGTTTTCGTATAGTACATTCGTTGTGAGCGATAAAGGGTATAGGTTTTTGAATGACAAAAATGCGAAGCTCTTGCTCGAACCAATTCCAGAAATAAAGCTATTGTTACCACGGACATCAATAGAGTAAGTTAAATTATTCTTAATTATACTTATTTAACAAATACTATTGTTTCAGTTTTAGAATTGAAGAAGCGGAATCGATTCCGCAAACTGTGGCTGTGACCCATCCACTCGAAACAGTTGTTGCGTGTGGTAGCAGTTTACAAAACTTCGGGAAAAGGGTGGAGAGTGAAGAAGAGAGAAAGAAGCGCATGGATATTTACTCAATTCTGATGTCGAAGAGATTAGACATTGCCTCAGATTTAGATTGTATGCCTTACATGGTGGCTTCAAACGAGGCTTTACTCAATATGTCAGAGAAGAAACCAATCAACGTAGCTCAGTTTCGTGAGCATAATTGTAAGAATTGAAGAATGTACGTGTGTTATAATTAAGTAAATTCTGATTAATTTTAGATGACGGTTTCAACGATAATAAGATAGAAAAGTTTGCTCAATACTTTATTGATATTATAAGGGAAAATTGCGATTTCGTTGAAAGCTCGGCTCCAGCAAAACCGCAGGAAATTAAAGATATTTTGGAGAAGAATCCTGTACCTAATGCAAAGGTTGGCGCTTCCGCTTTGAAGACGTACGCTCTCTTCGAAGCTGGAAATTCAGTGAAAGAAATATCAGTGGAGAGGTTTGAATTTCTAAATCAATTTTGTTCTTTTAACATTAACGAAAATTATTCTGCAGAGGTATAGTTGCATCCACGGTGTTTTCCCATTTGATAGACTGCAGCAAGATGGGATTTCCTATTAAACTAATCGAGTTAGGTGTAACGGGTGAACTGAGGGATCTCATAATCAAGGTTATTAAGAACCCACCCATTAATAATGGTAACTATGGTTAATCTGATTATCCAGTAAATAAACTCAGTTTTTGTTTCTTCTTGCAGATATGACTTCGATAACGCCTATTAAGAATGCGTGTCCAGAGGAGATTACCTACGACAACATTAAAATCGTCATAACTTATCTCCTGGTACGCGAGCATCTGCAAAGTCTGCAGATTCCCTACACCGAATTCGAAGACATCACTTACGATGAAGTGGTGGAGGTGATGAAGAAGTCAGTTGCAAACACCTCGTTGACGCAAGAAGGCGCTTTGGATGAGTTGGTTCGAGGTTTCGAAGACGACGAAAGCTTTACTTCCTCTCATCTACACAAGAAACCTAAACTGGATGAGAGCGACCTATTCGATATACTCGATTCACCGTAATTAATTATACCATTTATTGTTGAATATTTTTTTAATTTAATCTATTAAGTTTTCTCGCGTTTTCCATTCGTTTTTGAGTGCCTGGCGCTTCTGCCTCTTACGCTCCATCTCCGTAGTCTTTTTGTTATCGAGCAGCTTCGCCTGGGCCTCCACACTATTCTCTTTATTTATTAAATTATCTAATTTTGTGACTAATAGTGATCTTGCTTTCTTCCTGTTCTGATCCAAAGATCTACTCTCGTGGCATTTGATGACAATCCCAGTTGGTAGATGTTTCAGAACAACACAATTGGATGTTTTGTTGGTTGCTTGTCCCCCTGGTCCACTCCCTCGGACATGCTGTTCCAGCAATTCACTATCAACTAACTTGGGTACTTTGGAGTAATCTAATTTATGCTTACAACGGACAAAAGTAAAGCATATTCTATTTACACTAGTCAACATGTTTATTTATATTACAGCTTGCCTTTCAAGCAAAGACAATCCTTTCTGAAAACAAAAACAAAAAGATACAATTATAATACTTAAGCAACTTTTAAACAGTACCTGATAGTTAAAAGACACCTTCGTTGGATCACTAAGTGATTTATTATTTTTGAATTCCTTCTTTATCCTTTTGTAAAAGTAGGTTTTATCAGTGAGTTGTAATTGCTGACCGTAACGTAACAAATCTTTGTACAGTCTTAATACTTGTATCTTATCCATCATATTATTAAGATCTTGGAATAAAGCAATTTTCAAGATATTTAAATCATGGCTTTAGAGGTTATAATTTCTAATTATTACAAGCAAATATAGATGGAGCCGAATCCATGAAAGGTTCATTTATTATTTTGATAGAGACAGATGGAGCTTGGTGCATCATATTTATGATTTTTTTTTTAAAGAGAGAAGTAATTTGCATTATTTATAAATTGATATATTTATGTATGTTGTTATAATATTAATGATAAAACGAGTATAATCATAAACATGCTAATATAAATGTATATTATAAATACACAGTTAGTTTACAATTTCATAAGTATTCATAAAATGAAATGCAGTTAATTATGTCATTAAATTAGAGATAAACGACTATAATTAAATGAAAATCAAGGCTGCAAGATTCTTTTTGTAGTTCTTAGTCACATGAACATATTTTTCAGCGGTACTGATCAATCAAAATCCCGACATTCGAAATCTCGACAACCATAACCCCGACAGTATCAAAATGCCGACATATTATGGTTGTCGACAGTATTAAAATCAAAATAATTGTATTTTAGATTATTTCTTATTGTTAAAGTTTATTATGAATAAGTCGAGATTTCGAATGCTGCGATATTGGGATTTTCATTGTCGGGATTTCGAAATGGTTCCATTTTTCCGGACTTCATTATGCTTTTCTTCACATATCTCGTTGGATTTGCAAGTGCTTTATGAGCCGTGAAAAATAAAAGGTATCAGTGATGATGTATATTTAGTTACAGATGCGTTTATTTCTGTTTTTTCAACGCACGTCCGTCCATACACTCAAATGCATACCTACCTACCTCTACCACCTACCTACTCAGACGCCTTCAGCAACGAATGCGAATAATATGTAATGAGAAAGCATCCGAATCGTGGAGATTTTCCCCCCGTGTCCTGTTATTCGGCAGTAAAAGTGGCCTCTCTGCCAATTGGCAGAACCACCGAAAAATTCGCGAACACACACACATTTTGCTTTCACAAATCAAAATCTCAATATAGAAAATATTTCGAATTGCTTTCATTCTATATTCTGGAACAACCAATTTGTTGCAACCATAATAATTAAATAATTTAATTGCAAAACCGAATGATACGAATTAGTACATTTTATAATTGCGTTTCAATTATCAATGAAACGATACACAAACAAGTCTAGAGCATTAATTAATTAAATGATTGAATTGAATAAAATGCAATTAAATTATTTTACAATCGGAATTTAATTACAAATAATAAAAAAAAAATCACTTCGATAAATTGGAACGAATTAAACAGCAACTGGAATTGTTATTAGTTCAGCATTTGATGGATCGACAGAGTTTATCGTACATACTAGAAAGTAGAAAAGTCTTAAATCATGTTACTTAGCAGTGGAATTGCCTCAGTTTTTTGTTTCTTTCATCTCATCAGTATGAATCGGTCTATTTCTTTCTTCTCTTTTTTTCTACATTAGCTACTAATAAAATGACTTGCAATTTTGAGCTACAATGTAAAATTAATTTTTTATTATCTTTAATTCTGATGGTGTTGAATGTAAATAGAAGAAAATATTTGTTATTATCGTTGCGCTATTTTATTATTAACGGATATTGTTTAAACTCTTTTCGCAATTAAAAGTGCATTAGATTGCGCCGAGAGTTGAGAGCCAAATTACAGGTCGGCGTTCGTTTTCCGATTCAGCGTTTAATTGCCTTATCTTAATTAAATCTCTTCTTTTTTAATAACAAAAGAAATGAAGTACATAAATAAATGAATACAACGAGGTGGAGATGTTTCTGTAGAAAGTAATCGCATTCGCGCATCTTAATAAACTTATGATTTTTGTTAGCTGATAGTTTCATATTTTATACCATTGTAATAGCTATGACTTACAAAAAATTAAAATCGATATTTTGTAGTTACGTTTTTAGATATTGGATTAGGACCACTGCTTTACCTGATGTACACAGCATATATTCCTAAAACTAACAATATTACGATTGCAACATTAACTGATGATACAGTAATCTTAGTATCAGATGAGAATCCAGCAGTAGCATCCGAATATCTACAGGACAATTTAGATAAGCTACAAGAATGGCTTAAAAAATGTAGAATAGCAGTTAACGAAATGAAATCCGTGCATATCACATTCACGTTAAAGAAAGACACCTGCCCAACTGTAAGACTTAATGGACAAGATCTGCCCAAAGCAACAAAAGTCAAATATCTAGGCATGCATCTAGACCAGAGGTTCCCAAACTTGTTTGTGTCGTAGACCCCTTGCCATGTTTTTCGGTTTTGGATGGACCCCCTACTTACCTGATATTGATTTTTTGTAAATTTCTAAGTGTAGTGAAGTTTAGTGTTAAAATTTTATACATAAATTAAAACTACTCAAAATAGAATTTTGTATTTGTTATATAAAATATAGGTAACATAAAATAAACTAAGCAATAAGTAAATGTTTTTAGTGAGAAGGATGAACCTGATGCTTTAATAAAAAAATATCAACATTTGGCGTCAATTTTGTAAGGTTTAATCTTAAATCTGCTCGTCTAATGATGTCCAGTCTGTTTCTTTTTTTCGTTAGGAGATTGGTAACAGCTTTCCACTAGGTATGACGATGGAAAGGAAATTAAAAATTTCCTCGCTATATTCCATAATACGGGATAAGTAACGAACGGGTATGTTGTTTTGCAGCCATAATTGCTGATATCCGTTTTTAAACTGAACCTTAAGATCTTCGTTTGTACTTAGTTCAGTCAGTTCCTCTTGTATTATGACATTCGTTTCTTCTATGTCACCATATGGGTTATTTATCCACGGTGGTATTATCATAGTCAAAACGTCCTCAAACCTAGTTTCTAAATCTGAATAGAGGGCATTTAAATGTTGAACGTAGGTTGTTGAAACGTCCTCTTCCTGGCAGTTTGTCTGTGACAAATTGGGGAACTGGGAAAATTAGCCCCGTCTAATATTTTGCTTCATTAGTTTAACTATGGCACGAAACGCTGATAAGATGGACTTTGTTTTAATCAAATTTATTTTTATTTTTAGTATCCGGAAATTCTACAATAGTCTCAAAAAGTGCAAAAAAAATCTAACATAAGCCTTTCGATAGCTAAGGTACTTCAGTGTGAAGGAGTAATTGATGTAAGTATTCAACGCGTTTCTTCGGATTACTGCATCAATGACTAATTGAAGAGATTCATACAATCTAACACTCAAATTTTTACAATATGTATAAGTATTTATATTATAAGATAGTATAATAGATAGTAAATAGGTACTATCAGTGTATGTTGAGATCCACTATCGTGGACCCCCATTTTCATTTCATGGACCCCCAAATTTTTTTTCGCTGACGTAGACCCCTGCGTTAGTCCACTTTCAGGTTGTCATAGACCCCTGAGGGTCGATATAGACCATTTTATGGACCCCCAAATTTTTTTTTCGCTTACGTAGACTCCTTGCAAGTTGCTATAGACCCCTGGGGGTCGATATAGACCCCTTTGGGAATCACTGCTCTAGGCTAACTTCGGGTGCCTCGACGCACACAAATTTGGAGACTCTGATCTGACCAAAGTAACAAAAATCAAATATCTAGCCATGCATCTCTTCACCCGGAAAGATCACATTTAGGCTAACAGGGAGCAATTAGAAATAATGGTTATAAAACTCTACTGGCTTCTAGGAAAAACGTATGGTATCCAATAGTGGGGTGCGGCCAGTAAATCGAACATACAAATTATACAAAGGTTCCAATCAAAATGCCTAAGAAATATTATTAGGGCTCCATGGTTTATCAGGAATAAACAAATACACGAAGATCTTCATATAGATATAGTCGAGGATACAATACCAACATTAGTAGTTGATGCTAAGATATACTGGAGTCACATACTAAAGTTCCGGCCTAGTC